TTCATGTTCTTGTTTGTTGTTTAAAACTTCTGGTGAATTGGCGTCTCAGCAAATTGTGCTTCGTTGTCTTTCGTGTGAGGCTGTTCAAGTGCAGCATATGTACAATCATATTCTACATGAAGTGCTTCGCATTTCTTTGGTGAGGAAAGAGGTTTGGCGTTTGTTCGGACGCCACAGATAGGAATGTTTCTGGGCTTACGATACTGCCGGAAACGGAAAACAAAGAACACTGAATCATACCGCCGACTTGTTTCCCGCCAGCGGTCCACCGACATATTTGGTACTACCGGCAACCGCCGAAGGCGGTACCGCCATGTTGCGAACCGCTGACAAAAGTTCCGCCAGTATTGGCGATACCGGCAACCGCCGAAGGCGGTACCGCCATGTTGCGAACCGCCGACAAAAGTACCGCCAATATTGGCGGTACCGCCAACCGCCGAAGGCGGTACCGCCGAAACAATAGGTACCGCTGTCCCGCCTAACAGTTCCCGCCATCTTGCGGTACCGCCAAAACTGTTCCCGCCTAAAAAACCGTTCCCGAGGAATACCCTGATTTTTTTTCCTCTCTAGCTGATGACGATGGATAGCATCCCCCTCCCTCTCTAGCTGGTGACGATGAACACCACCCCCCTCGCTAGCTGATGATGGACACCACCCCCCCCTCTAGCGAATGATGATGGATACCACCCCCCTCTCTAGCTGGTGATGATGGATTGCACTCCCCCCTCNTACCTTCCCCCTCTCTAGCTGGTGATGATGGACAGCCCCCCGTTCTTCTGTAACAACAGACGCACGAGCCTACTGCAGGTACTTTTGTGCAACCACCACAAAAAACTATTCAACCTCCAACTCTAGTAAACGGTGACACCACTCCCGTGTGCCCGCACATCAGGCGCACATACTCCGCACATATGCATACCAAACTAAAAATACGTATGTAAACTGATGGAGACTGTTATGTCCTACAACTAACAGGGTGCCACACACAAAACGCCCGACTAACCAACAGTACCCAACACCTCTCGTCTGCACCTTCCCAACATAACATATATGAGACACACAAGACAGCTACCAAACTGATTTGTTGAGCCTGTTACCCACAGGGGAGATGTCCCTATATGCTGTCTGGGAAATCGTAGACACACAGGTAGTTTTCTCTGACGCTATGATTCCATTGTTAATCTGTCTCTGACTCTTCTCTATGATAGAGATGGACTCGTTGTGTTATATTAAGAAAAAAAAAAAAATGACAACTGGCAAAATAGCCCCGTGTTCAGTCGGGCTCGAACACGTTACTCAAAACGTACAGCAGTTCAGGTGCTCTGTCCACAACCAACAAGGAGGGGACTGCTGCTGCTGCTGTTGTGTAGAGTGCATTAGGCGGAGGAACCAGGCGCATGTTGTATTGTGTATCAGCTGCATGCCGTCTCCTGGGCATGTCGTTGACGAGACGCGGTTGGTGACCACCGGCCGTGCTCTCCAACCCTCGAAAAAAGTGCACCCGGCCGCTCTGCTGTCGTGCACAACAGCATATGTTCACCGGACAGTGTTTCGTCGGTGTTGTCTGTAGGTACAGCATGATGTAAACTTTTGGTTCAACTGCTGCTATGTACAACTGCAGCACCACCGTTGTGAAGTCACATCGGGTTGAACTGGCGTCCGAGATAACGCAGGAGAAGAGCGCTGCAGTCGGCGCGACATCGCATAGCTAAACTGGCAGTCGTTCTGTTGGCTAGCGTACGGCGCAATGCTCAGTCCTCCCGCCCGTTAGATGCTTCCACACGACATACGGTACACGCAACCACATCACATCACTAATTGACACCGCGATATCCCGTGTGTACATTCCTTGATGCACTTGCTGGTGCAGGTACTGGCCTGGCTGACCATACTCGGCAGGGGCAACTGCTTTGCAAGCATCTACCAGATGTCGTTGATGAGCGCGAAGACCGTGCAGACGACGCTGGTCACACACACGCACGGCGAAACAACCGGCATAACAGGGTCGGGGGAACAGGGTGCAATAACGTCTTTGCTAGCAACGTGGGGAAGGGGGGGGGGCATGACAAGCATTACTGCCGCAGATCACAAGCAAAAAAAATCACAACCGTTTACAAGAAAAAAAACAAACACCCAAAGAGAAGGCATATCGGACGGTGCAAACAAAACGCCTTTACGATAAAATTTGGGCACAAGGGGACCGAGGGGGAGAGGGCATGACAAGCATGGCTGCCGAAGCCCATACGCAAAATTAAACACACAACAGTTGACAAGAAAAAACTCAACACCCAAAGAGAAGACATTGTCGGATGGTGCAACAAAGTCTTTACAGGAAAACGTGGGGACGAAGGGGGGGGGGGGGGGGGGGGNGGAAAACGTGGGGACGAAGGGGGGGGGGGCATGACAAGCGTTACTGCCGTAGCCCGTACGCCAAAAAAAATCACAACCGTTTACAAGAAAAAAAACACCCAAAGAGAAGGCATGTCGGACGGTGCAAACAACGTCTTTACAATAAAACTTGGGCACAAGGGGACCGAGGGGGGGAGGGCATGACAAGCATGGCTGCCACAGCCCGTACACAAAAATAAACCAAACGCTACAAGACAAATGAACATACCCAAAGAGAAGACATGTCGGACGGTGCAACGACGTCTTTACAAAAAACGTGGGAACAAAGGGGAGGGGGGGGGCATGACAAGCGTTACTGCCGTGGCCCGTACGCCAAAAAAAACACACAATCGCTACAAGAAAAAAAACACCCAAAGAGAAGGCATGCCGGACGGTGCAAACAACGTCTTTACAAAAAAACTTGGGCACAAGGGGACAGAGGGGGAGAGGGCATGACAAGCATGGCTGCCATAGCCCGTACACAAAAAAAACGCACACACACAAACTCTCTCTAAATTCTCACGTGTCCAGCCGCGCTAGCAAGGGGACGTGCCGCTCTCCCACCAACACCAACCCTCTTCCGCGCCCCGGTGAATCCCGGGAGGGCGGACCGTGTTGCAGACCGTGTTGCACCCATGACGACGGGGCAACTACCGCAGCAGAGGAAGTAGGCGTTGCCGTAGCGGGCGATGACGAACAGAATGTCAGGAGATACTGGTGCATCCACTTGTTGGGCCTCTGCGGAAAACCGGCCTCTTCTCGTGCGATTTCTTCGTAGGGGACATCATCCCCGTTGCCCGGCGTATCGTCTTCTGGCTCCTTTTTCATCCCCCCCTCCCCCGCCGGTGAGTCATCACCGCTGCTTTCCACTCCTCCAGCCGTCCTCGCTCTCCGTCGGTGACGATTCCCCAGAGTCATCTTCCCAACCCTCTCCCTCACCGCCACCTCTCTCTTCCAACTCGATCGGGTCCTCTGCGTTCCCCGTTCCGGATTCATGTGGTAGACTCCGTCCAGAAGGTACTCGATGGCGTCTTCGTCTTGGCTGCCCGACGGTAGTTGGTCCCCAGGTTGTCCTTCGACGAAACTGGGCCAGGGGTGCACGGGAACAAGGTAGAGAGAGGTAGGAAGAACGGGTGAGATTGGCAGCGATCGTAACGCACTCTCGCTCGTGTGTACGCGCAAAGGTGACACATATTTCGAATGTTGACGGGTAGCGGTTCACTCCCATGTCGCCACTGGTCTTACTATTTTCGATCGGTTTTCTTCTATCCGACTTATTTCGAAGGGCCGTGGCGCGGAAACTATTTCAAGAATACACACCACTGTTTATTTCGCTGAGATTTAGAATATTGTTCCGGAAGTCATGCCAATCGGCCAAAGTGACACAGCACCGGTGTGCCACATGCACATAAGTTCCATCATCGTTGTAGAGTAGGTCGACCAGGGAGGGGATCACCGTACCGAGGGCAGAACGACACACTGCGAAACGCACAAGGGTTTGTGACTACAGTTTTGACTTGGTGCATGAGTGTTGTTGTTGTTGTTGTTGTCTTCACATTAAAAACCATCCCGGTCTNAAGAATACACACCACTGTTTATTTCGCTGAGATTTAGAATATTGTTCCGGAAGTCATGCCAATCGGCCAAAGTGACACAGCACCGGTGTGCCACATGCACATAAGTTCCATCATCGTTGTAGAGTAGGTCGACCAGGGAGGGGATCACCGTACCGAGGGCAGAACGACACACTGCGAAACGCACAAGGGTTTGTGACTACAGTTTTGACTTGGTGCATGAGTGTTGTTGTTGTTGTTGTTGTCTTCACATTAAAAACCATCCCGGTCTCTCTATCCAGTACCTCCTTCTGTCTCAATCTCTCCGTACTAATCCATCACTTGACTCGGCCAATTTCCGTGGTCACAGGCTAACGTACCTAGAAAAGGTATACCAAAATAAAATGGACCCCAAGGGTCAGCAGAGCGATAAAATACAAGAAAACAAAATAGAATCAGAAACAATTTAAATAAAATAAAATAAATAATTAGACGAGTGGAACGGCCGCACCACCAGCCTGGGGGGGTAGCCTCCCACTACATGGAGGCAGGTCGACGGCCAAAGGAAGGGGCGGGGGTACGTGCCAGTAAAAAACAAAACAAAAGACAAAATAAAACAGAATAAAGCAAAGACGAGGACACAAACAAACTCGCACAGAGACAGGGATATCCCTAGAGACAGTCTGAACGCGACAGCAAACGGGGGAGAGGGCAACAGAAAAATTAGTCGTTGAAATTCGACCGCAACATGTCACGTCACGCGGTCGGTCTCTTCTCGCTTGCTTTCTTCCCGCCGCGCCGTTTCCTTCCGCCCCCCTACCGCCCCGTTGATTGGTGCCGTATCTAGACTATTTTTGGGCCCGCTGTCTCCTCGTTTGATGGCTCGTTGTCGGCTGGCCTCCTCCTTGCCCTTGTGCCAAGAGGCCATGAACCTCTCAGCTCCTGTGTATCGTTGTTTATTGTGTGTCTCACCGCGACAACTTGCATTCGTAGTTTATGTGATCGGGGGGAAACACGGTGGGGGGTGGGCGGTCTACTTTATTCTCTTCGCAACATGTTGTACGCCCTGGGGCCACCCATCTCAAAAGCTGTTCCCACCGGTGGTGTTATGTTGCTTTTTTGAAGGGGGAGGGGGGAAACGCCAGCGAGTTGCCGCCAAAAGCAGCTGTTAACGCGATTGAGCATTTGTTCAACACTGCTGTTGTCCGCATAGTACATGTATGGTGATCGGGGCACGTGACAGTTCGAAATTTGAATGTAGTGCGGCAATTCCATTGNCGGTGATCGGGGCACGTGACATTTGAAAATTTATATGTAGTGCGGCAATTCCATTGGTGTGCGGACAAAAAACAAGAACATCAAACCGCTAGGCACCGCGTTCGATGATCACGACAACACACCAGACACGGGCGCATGTGGGCGTTTTTTACAGGAACATACGCATCATCACTGATTATTACTCTCGTAAACCGACTTCTATTCTTGAGAACAAATACCCCTGTTCAATATCCTCCGTGTTCCTTCGTGTTCGGCCTTGCTTCTTCATTTAGTATTGCCTACGGGAGTTGTTCGTCGGTGCTTCTGTGGCGGAAGGTACGTGCACTACTCACCACTGTACACACAGTAGTAGTTACGCCGCCGACGCCAACCATGTTTTTCTCGGGAGGGCGTGGTTGCAATCGACTGCTCCTTCACAGCAGTACACGCCACACGAGAACAGGAAAATACCCTACACGAAACGCAACAAAAGGGTTTGCCTATTTACGCCACCGGTGGCGCAATTTCTTATATGCGCCATAGCAATCATACAAGCCAACTTGAAGCAAAATCCATTCGGTCGTTGGAAAGTTATGCTCGAAAAAGGGGGCTCAGCGGCATCAAAAGGCGGGCACCAACCACATATTCCACCGTAACTCCGTGGCCAAAGCTCCAATCGACGTCAAACAAATTGCGCTGGTCGACGGACGTCCATAGCCATCGTTCAAGCCATCTGGGACGTCCATCCGACCAGTAGATTCCGAGATATGCCCTCCCACGGGGGTACAGCAGTGCCACCGTAGGGCGGTGGCGCATATAAGCTTATATGCGCCACCGCCC